CTTTTTTGTTACTACTAGTAAGGCACTTGTTACTAGAAGCGATGCACTTGTTCCTAGTAGCTTTTTTGTTACTAGTAGTAAGGCACTTGTTACTAGAAGCGATGCACTTGTTCCTAATAGCTTATTGTTACTACTAGTAAGGCACCTGTTACTAGTAGCGTGGCACTATGCGTCAGAAACTGCAGGTACGTCTTGGAACGAGGCACATGTATGGCAATCCCCACCCGACATTGGCCGTGACGACTGTAGCGCACTCAGAGGCATTGTGGCGGCATGCAGGGGCCAGCCACCACCTCTGCTGCCAACACTTGAGGACGGTCTTATTGTTGATTTCCTACAGGGAAGAACGTCTCATCAAGGTGAAAAAGTGTTGAAAGATGTTGAAAGTTGTAAAGAAAAAGATCCTAAATATTCCCAACTGGTCCTAGACTTTCGGCCAATGTCTGCAAAGGTGTTTACGAACTGACGGTGTTTGTCCTCCACACCATCATGATCGCCAGTGGCTGCAAGGTATTGCCCTCCAATCCCTTCAAAGCCAATCTCGACAGACTTAGAATGGACACACGGCTGCAACAGGGCCAGGGCTGCAAGGTATGCGGCGGTATGCGATTCGCACGGCACGGAACGACTCGTCCTTTTTGATAGTTTCACGAGACATGCAAAAGCAGCTTAACACAAATGCGTCAACACACTGCAGGATGTGCCTTGTCTTCAATTTCACTCACAGGTCTCATTTGGAGCGAGGCAGGGGCTGAATGACAACCAAACCAAGCTATGGAAAGGATCTCAGTGTGGAATGCAAACAAATTCGATGCGAGATAGTGTACCTGCCGGAATCTACTGTAGGTCTTTCATACTATCGGATCTGAACCATGGACAGCTGCCCCATTTCTTAGTGGATGTCTTCCCATTAGTGGCCTGCAGGCAGAAGCTTAAAATAAGAGTGTAGTCTAGGAAGTCAAGTGCTTTCCAGCAGCCTATGAGCAAGGACGCTACTAGGGGCTCCTGGCCTTACTACTAGGAGCAAGGACGCTACTAGGGGCTATTCACGAAGTTAAGCACCCGTCCGAATCCTAGACTGAAGGTTTCGTAGACCGATCGTGAGTGTGTGGACCGCAAGTGGCGCCCAGCGGCATCTGCACAAGTCCTCAACTTGGCCAAGTCCACCTGCGGTCGGTCGAGAACCGCATCGCACTGCCGTCGCGCAAAGGCACTGCCTGTGGGACAGTCGCGGTGTATTGGACGGGGTTGTGCCAGGAGCGATTCCAGGAGCGATAAAACTCCAAAGCCAATCCTCGACGCGTTTGGTTCACGTTCGACGCGTCACACGAGTTGACCGAAACAGAAGTTTTGGCCAAAGGGCCGCTGTCTTGGAGAGCTGCATTCATGCTGCTTCCCATGATATACATGCCTTCCTTGCCAGAATATCCAATACCTCGAACATAGCTCATCAGGTAAGGTCTGGTTGGCGGCATGAATGTTGAGCACTCAAGTTCTGCACACACTAGTCGACGCATTTACTAGATAGTTGCGTCCCAAGTACTTCCCAGGTTCTCTGGAGCATACTCGCCAAGTTTTTTCAGAGCTGTTTCTGTGAGTTCTTCCGCAGCATACCAGTATTCCAACGACACATGGTGCTGGCGCGGTTGATGGCGTTCTGCGGCACATGATCCTGGAGGAACCGATGGCCTTTACCCTAGTAGCGGCCTCCAACCTACTAAGGCAAACTGGAACGGTCAGATCAGGTCCGGAACGTGACAATCCACTTTTTCAAGGCACAGAGCTCGTATTGTCCTTCAATGATCGTATTGTTCTCGGGTATGTGCTCACAGCCTGCAAGCTTGTAAATCTGTATGAAGCTAGTGGTGCCGATGCCAAGAGAGGTGTTGTGCCCGATCTTCTCCTGACAGCAAAACCCATCTTGAAAGGAATTGCCGTGATCATTAGTGAGTTTGACTCCCTTGCCATGCGAAGTCTGAAGTTGATGGTTTGCGGCGTTTGGGTGGAAGGTGGCGATGTGCGTCTCCAAGCACGTTTACTAGTAACAAGGGCATCGCTACTAGTAGCTAGAAGCTACTAGTAACAAGGGCATCGCTACATGCGTGTTGATTTTGTTCCAAATGCATCCGAGTATATTGTAACAGAATAGTCGAATAGTCAGTGTGGAGGTGCTTCAGGCGAGCGGATGGCGAGGCGGCGAGGCACTTTGTGGAGAAATCGATAAAGCCTACAGATTTCTACAGTGTGTATCAATCTCTCATATTCTGTCCTAGATCTGGCAACGAAAGCCATGCCGCTTTCGGGTGGCCAAAGGTGAATCGAATTTCCCTAACAGTGAGCCACAGTGAGAATGGATAACGTCCCGTCCTGAACAATAATCTCATAGATGGAGCTCACAATCCTTGCAGCTTTGCTCGCTCCAAGAATCGGTTCTACCCCTCGTCGGGATGAGCAAATAGACTCGTTCCCGTGGTGCTCCCAAGAGAGAAAGGACACGCCAATTACGAGGAAAACGACTGGATTCTGCATGAAACCCAGTCCTGGCTGAGGCCCAGCTGCCAGTCCAAATGCCAAGCGGCATAGAGGTCCCATCAACTACTACCTGAAGACCAAGTAGTTAATGGTTCAGGATGGCTCTATGGGCCAACGACATATCCAAACGCCGAATTCTGTGAATCTAAGACATGAACACATGATCATGAGCCGAATGAAATTACATGTGTATATATTGTATGCATGTATGCGTTGCATACATATTCTACAATGTGTGCATAATTTCGACAGAAAACACTCTTTGAACTCAACACCAATCCAAATCTGCCCAGCAGCATGTGTCCGCTCGGATTCCGGAATGGCATCCGGAAGACAAACCCGGCCATGCACCCTAAGGGTGACAGCCAAAGCTAAGAGTAAAAGTATGCCCCTCATGGCTGGGCCTTCAGCCCCTGAGCCAGAGCTGGGATCAAGTTGGAAAGCGCGGTGTTTCTTCATAGTTTTTCGTTCATGTCCCTCTTTACTCTCGTCTCAATGGGTATCACTAGGTCCATACCCCGTCTTGGCCTGCACCTTAGAGAGGACTTCAGCGAAACGCTCCTGTCAAGCTGTCAAGGAGAATGGGGAGATGGGAACTGGCATCCAATGAATCTGGAAAAGGCGTCCAATGATGTCCAAGGCGTCTTGTTTTTTTCTCTCCCGAATATCCCGAATGTGTAGCGAAGTTCCCACTTCACTGGGAAGTCTCGTGCGAAACGCTGGCTTTGGAGACTTGTCGCTTGATGTTTGGAAGTCGTGACTGGGGGAAGGCCTGAACGCAATCTGCTTTGAGCTTCGGTGCCAGTGGAAGTCCGCTCTTCGTGAGCTCCGGTGCCAGTCTCTGAAGTCACCGTGTCACAACGCGGCGTCGAGGTTTGACGTGTGGTTCGCGGGATGATTGGTGGTGTCATGTCACATGGTTGCATCTAGCCCCACAAGAGTGTCCCATAAGAGTGCCCCAAATTACAAAGAGTGTCCCAGAAAGGTATCCCACAACACTGTCGTATAAAAGATTATACAAGAGTATCACCCCAGATTGTCCATCTTTGGAGAATGCCACGCGAGAGTGTTAAACAAACGTGTGCTCATTCGGGCTCATGGGTTCTATCAGACCTTTGGCCAGGGGTAGGCCGTGAGGCTACTAGGTTGGAAGCCATTGCTATTAGGTTGGAGGCCCTCGCTATTAGGTTGGAGGCAATTGCTTTATATTGCTTTGTATGTGTGTCTTTTTTTGGCTGAGGTAGGCCGTGAGGCTGAGTACAGCTAGGAAGCGGAGGACAAGTTCAGTCTTCTTCAAGGCTACAAGGCTACCCCCCCCTGCCTTTTCATTTGGTTCCTAGATGTTTGGGGAAACCCGAAACTCTTTGGACAACTCTTTGTCAGAGGTCAAAGTGATCCAGCCAGCTTGTGTCGTCTCAATTTCAGCCCAAGCGTTCAACATTTGAGGAAACATCTTCAATCTTCACGGTCAGTATCCCAGGTTTCATCACCAGTTTTCCGTTCTGTCCTATGCAAAAAAACACCTTCCCTCCCCTCCGGTCCCCTCCTCAAGCAATGCCACACGATCTGAATCCATGCCACCCAGCAAGTCACACTTGTTCCTGGCACGTATAGCACGGCATCTTCTGCTGTCATATCTCCTAGGACACTCTGTCAGACTGTCGATGCCTAAGGGATACTGCCGATGGCGGGATTTAGACCCAAAGTGACATGCCAATGACTCCAATGGCCGTGCCAATGGCCTTTAAATTGTCTTCTGTGGAGAATAGATTCCATGTCCCATGAAACATGCCCAAGGCCACAGCAACACCAGATCGCAATACCTGTAGTCTTCGGCAAGAGGAGGCATGTTTCATGCCCTGGGAAGGCTTGCTTGCTGTTGTTTGGCAGGTGGCAATGTCTGTGCCAGCAATATTCGAGGGATTTCGAGGGATAATTCTGTTCCTTATCAGTGGGGTAAACCATCAGCTTCATTTCCCACCAAATCTAGGAACCGTTTGGTCTAGCCGAGCTGCTTGATCTGCTGGGCGGCGGTCTCTTGCAAAGATAAGGCCTGACGACGTTCTCAGACATGACATGAACAGGTCGATCGCCAGCTAGTATGCCCGCCGTTAGGTACACGGATGCATTGAAAACTCTGAACCGACATTATTATAGTCAAATCTTTTGGGGGGGTCCTCAAAATACCTTCCCATACCTTTTATCTATTGCTTCTTTCTGTCGCCCTCAGATCTCGAATTGGATTCGCCTGGGCCGATTTAGGTACGTGATCACACAGGTCGCTAGCATCCATCACTGTGACCACCTGAGCTTCAGTTCCTCTTTGAGTGGACCTTCTTCGACCTTCTCACTCTGAGAGGTGCACAGTATCCAAGTGTAAGGAAACTGCCTCGGACGTAGCCGGCTTTGGCGTGTGGCTTTGGCTTGTTTCTTCGATTTTCTTCGTTCATCTCTGATCTCGACGTGTCAATCGCTAAGACTGAGTTCATTGAACCTGCAATCCACTACAGCTCCAGCCTCTTGACGCCCAGCCAAGTGGTTGCACATCAATTGAAGACTCGGTGTTATTTAGCATAGAAAATAGAAACAGCATGAAATAGCTTCGTTAGGCCCTCGTTGGATCCCTTCACCTCACCGACCTCACCATCAAAAGTCTTAATTTCTCTGACTCTGTTCCCAGCTGAGCTGCCAAATCATCCAATTGTTCTAGCGTGCTCAGGACAGGTGCCGGATCACATAAACCACTGGTCTCAATGACCAACAAGTCCTCGGAGTTGCTCATCCGTGAGCATCCAAACGAAAGTAGAAGTCTTCAGGTTTGCACCTGTGCCGTTTGATGCATTTGAGTGCCTACCAAAAAGTCAAAGAGACTGAGGCTCCTGAGGGCTGTCTGAACAACACTTTGAGCCCCACATCTACCCTAAAGCTGCTCAGGAAATGGCCAACTTTTCAGGGGCCTTCTTCTGAGCCTGAAATGGTGATCATGCCATCCTTCGGACAAGGTTGACTCTCATCTAACATGTGTCTGTGCTTCATGCGGAAGGTGTTCCAGCGTCGGTGTTCGAACAAGAGACCTGGTTTGATGTCTCTCGGTCTCAGTTGTTTTCCATCCGACAGACTGGTAGGACCCCTGGTCCGCCTCCAGGATCTTCCGTAGCTGTCGTTGGAGGTCGGCATTCACCTCCAAAGGCGAGGTCGAGGTCAGATCTTGACCGTTCACGCACCGGCGTTTGGTTTCGCCGGAAAAAGAAGGTGCAAAGGAACAAAACATTGTGAACAAGAACCCGATCCGTCTCACCATCCTTTTTTCTTTTTTGAAGACATGCCGCAGTGGGTGAATGATGGTGAACGAACTCATCCGTCATCGACATTGGGGCGGCACTTCGCAGCACATGCAGCCATTGTCCAAGGTGACAACCCTGCAATTGTCCAAGGAACACACAACGGAGGAAGTGCCAAAGCAAAAAAACAGTTCCTTGGTGGAAATCCCTTTGTTCTTTTCATTTTTCGCACAAGCGTCCTTTTTCTTTTCCTAAGGTATTGCGGCAGCCATCGGCCTTGCTTCATCAATCTTGCCCTGCCAACGAATGAGGTCACCGTCAATGTCCACACTGCCAAACTCATTCACGAAGACTGCCACACGAGCACCTGTGTCGACTCCACCCAGCTTTGGGCGGACGCAATGGCCTTGATGCCTCACAGTCTCGCCTTGTTGGTTAAGAATATGATTTAGCAAGGTGGTCTTGCCAGCACCCAGGAAACCTGTAATGATGCATACCTTGGCCAAACAACACAAGTGAGTCTGGAAAAGTCATACGGTACATAGACGGTTCAGTCCATGGGACGAAAAGTAGAGGGTTTTGTTGGATGATATATCTTTGAAAAAGCAGTGTCATGTAATTCACACACGTACAGTTCATATGTGCTACAAGTATTTTCACAAGGTTGGAGGCTCTTTTGTTGAAGGCCGCCACTAGGGTGGAGGCCATTGCGGTAAGAATGTTCAACTGAGGCTCTGGAAGCCCCGGTCGTTCCATGGTGCACCGCGCGCAGGGTGGGAAGACTTGATCCACATGAAACGGACATCTCGAGCATGTTTTCAGGTGTCACCCGGCCCACATGGTGGCACCACATGAAACAACAACCAAGAGTTGTTTAGCGGTCAAAGTGAATGTGCCAGCCATGTCTTGACCCTTCATGACCCAGTCGGACGACTGGTTGCTTTCAGCCAACTCCAAAGCACGGACGGTCGTCAATGGACGTGTTTTGCGCAGCAGAAATTCAAGACAACCGCAAACGTATCATTCAGGATAGTCTAGTCCGCTGGCAACAGAACAGCAAACAAAACGATTTCAATGCAAATCTGGAGTTGTAAGGCTCTTGAATCTTCTGATATCTTATCCAATCCAGGTCCCAGTGGTTTTTCAGACAATAGACAATGGAATCATTTGGGAACTCTTCAAACTAATTACCAATGTCTTGGCACCACTCCGTAAAATCATGTAAAATCCCATAGAAGCGTGAGGACTGTGGTCGTTGCCTTTGCCTCATGGATTGTCTGATTGGGATGGTGTAGATTGATGCGGCTGGTGTAGATCGGGTGATGTCCGATGTCCGTGGTCCAGGGCTCTACCGAAGCGGTGGTGGGTCAGGTGCTGCCCAAAATGCTGCCTCCATCAGGATGAAGAAGATCAAGCGAAGGAAGGAAGGAAGGAAGGAAGGAAGGAAGGAAGGAGGGGACAACTGGTAGCTCTTCTTTTCAGTGAAACTTGGCGGAAACTGGCATTGTCGAAGAGACCGATCATGGTATGGCGGATAGCCTATGAAATGGTGTTGAGGAGAAAAGCGATGGCTTCCAACATAAGAGATGGCCTCCAACCCACCAGCGACAGCCTATGAAATGGTGTTGAGGAGGCAGGAAAGCGATGGCTTCCAACCGCCTGGTAGAGATGGCCTCCAACCTACTAGCGATGGCCTTGATTCGGTGACAGGAACCCACTGCAAGGGCCCACGGGCTAACTGGCTCGTCTCATTGGTTGGGAGGTCATTTGGGTCAATCACCCGCCAAACGGCGGCTTCTTTATGGTCCATCATGTCATGTCTTTTCTCTATTTTTGAAAAAAGGGTTTCAGCATGATGGCGCCAGTGGCCAACGGACCAAATGGCTGGTGTCAAAGCGATCTCCCATCGGCAACTATACACGCGATATATATATATATATGAGCCACGGTCAAAATCAATTATTTATGCTAAGGATGCTTTCTATCGTTATCGTTTTTGGGGGAGACCTTATCGGTTTTCAGCTTTTTGTTCAGCCAGATGCTTTTGGCATTCGCATTTACATTGTGGATGCATGAAGCGGAGCTACCTACTTGCTGAAATCAGAAGCAGTGGATGACGAGCTTGTTCACAGCTCGCTGCGGACAAAGGCATTGCAATCTCGAGGGGGTTGTGAAATTTGGTGTACCTGTCTCTATCTTAATATTTATCGGCCTTCTGTTGGCTGGGATGTAAAGTACTAACATGTAAGTTCTCAAAAAGAAAGGCTAGACCAATGTCTTCAATAGGGAATTTGGCTGTCTTGTCAGCAGGCTCTGGGCAAGTGGCTGTGAAAGCTGAAAACATATCCAGACGGTTATCGGCGAGTTATCGGTTTCGTTATCGGCATAGTGCCCACATAGAATCCGGATGTTTCAAGAGATGGCTGCAGATTATAAAAAGAAAGACAAACAGCAACAAAAATATTGATTCCGTATCATATGGCTGAAGCCGCCCACTAGGGTACTGTCAGTGGGGCTTTCATTCGACATGCAACAGGTACTGCAAGGATCTGTCAGGAATGATAATAAATACCATCATACATCATAGGTTATCGGTTTTGGGGCGGACCTTATCGGTTTCCAATACGTCCTCACCCTAAGCCATTCACATCGACCTCTCCTGACTAAAGTAGTCTACACTTATTTTGACCCCACCTCATATATATATATGATATGCTACTATTACTAGTAGCTCCTGACACTACTACTAGGAACAAGAAGCTACTAGTAACAAAGGGCATCACTACTAGGACCAAGAAGCTAGTTATATCATGTCGCCCATCGCTGTTTCCGGTGTCCATCGGCATCTCGATCTGGAATTCCTGGGATTCCGGGGTGAACAAAAACAGGGGGTAACGGGGTAACGGGGGGGAGAATTCCGGGAGTTTTGTCATTGAATCAAGGGCACCTCCCACCAAGCTGATTTGAGGACCTGATTCTACCCACTTTGTCAAAAACCCAATGGTCCAATGGTCTAGTTACGCGTAATTGGCTGCTTTCAGAGTGAATGCACTGGGTTTGCAGCGCAGGCCGAAGCAGCGGTTTAGCACGGAGTCCTTGCAGAATGGGCAGTGACTTGGGGCCACCCATAGCGATCTCTGAAACAATGGGTTGTCTTCGCAAAAGGAGCGTGTCATGGTGTTGATGAGTAACTGAATGAGAAAGAAAACACACTTCCGCTCTGCACTGGCTCAAGGCTGGATGACTTTTTGGCAATCGCACAAAATGTTCGTCACTCGTCTGCTTTGCAGCTTTCGGCAGTAGCGTTTTGCTATGCTTCAGGCTCAGGCTTCAGGCTCTTCGACGCTCTTTGACGCTCTTCGACGCTTCTCAGCCTCAGAGCCTCACCGTCACCGCCTCATCGTTTCAAGAACCCACCATCAAGTACCGAGAACACTTGTTTGCTTGCCCTCAACAAGGGTCATGTCTGTAGCAAGGTAAGAAATGACACAGACACATGTGAAACAGGATGCATGCACCTACCACTCAAAAGAAGGAATTACGTTGGATAGCCTACCCACGCAAACCACCATGTAACTAAACGTCCAATGATACATGGTATATGCAAAAAACACACACATGCACAAATCTACAAAGATACTGTCGATACTATGGTTTGATTTTAGACTTGGAATGTCAAAAAAAAGAAGAGTTCTGTCAATCAATCCTTGCAAGATGATCAACATCATAGAATTCACATGAATTCACATCTGTCGACTTGAACACGCGTGTTGTTTCAACTGAAGAGTGTGATTCCAACATGCCTGCAGCACTGCAGCCTTTCGATCCTGGACTTTTCAAAACTTTGCTCAATCGCATAGAGAGAAAGAGTGCCGCCTGGGATGCGAAGATTCGGTTCAACTCTCCAGTTTCTGTGGGAATCAAATCTGTCGGCCCTAGTGTCCACCCCAAAAACAACTGGATTGGCATGTGTGTCAAAAAACCTTGCCTGATGATTTGGTAAACATCCAGGTTTCTCCGTGAATGCCCAATTCTTACCAGCCGTGACGTTGCCCCAAAAAATCAGTGGCCTGGTTCACAGTTGCTAAAACACACAGTTTCTGTAAAAATAAAACCACTGCCTCAAAAGTGTTGGACGTCTCGGAGAGAAATTGTAGCTTGGAAACGACGGTTTTCTTTCGTGAATGAGAGTCACAAGCGATGTGCCGAAAAACTGCAGCCAAAAAACGGCTATGCTCAGCAAGAAGTGCAAAATCACTCCTCCCATGCAGAATGGCTGAGAAAGAATCCATGGCATTCTTTGGTTTGCTTTGGAATTGCCAGGAAACCAACAAAACATAACACGTGGCTGAGAGTGTTTTGATGTGTTTTGGTTTCGTGTTCTCCTGTTGCACAAAAATGAAGACGACAAGTGGTACTCCCGATCAGCTCACCAAAAATTTAATATTCATATACCCAAGAAGGGAGGGGACGAAAGCCAGCCTTTGCGTCAACGGGGGTGCGCTTAGGGTCAGCCTGGCGCTCAGGCATGCCGATGGGGGGGAGGCTGCCTTTTTTCGTCTTGGCTCAGGGGCGTTTTGGAGGTGAAACCCTAAGGAAGGGAGGGGCGCTGGCCTGCTGCGTATTGCCAATGAGTGAGCAAAGATGGCTCTTGGGGGCCCATGGGTGAGGTTTATCGGCAGGCTTTCGGGAGGACACATATATGTCATGGTAGAGTGGAGAAAGCGTAGCTGAAAGCGGTGAAGTTGATATTGCAGATGAAGTGATTGGCTGACATCGGGCAAAGCATACGTTCAGGTGGTGAAGTTGACATCGTAGCCACTCCGACAGGAGGTAGAAACAGAAAGTATAATACATAGGTTTTTGGGGGTGCATTTTCGTCGTGGCTTTGTGTCGCTTTGTCGTTGACAAAAAGGCACCCCGAAGGAAGTGAGGGGCGGCTGCTTGCTGTGTGGTGCCAATCAGTGGGGGGGGTCGAGGGGCGAGGTATCGACAGGCTTTCGGGAGGAGAATATATGTATATAGGTAGAGGAGAAAGAGTGGCCGGAAGTGGTGAAGTTGATCTTGCAGCCAATCGGATAGGGGCAGAGGAGAAAGTAGAATACATAGGTTTGGGGGGGGTGCATCATGCACCCTCCTATATGGAGGGCCCCCCTATGGACTGCCCTTTTGAGTCCGGCAACTAGACCTTTCCACGGATAAAAAAGGGCACCCCCCCAAGCAACTCAAAGCCTTCCGCCTCCAACGCTTGCCCGCTGCAATCTGTTTTCTCTCCTGCCCTCAACAACCCCCCCCAAGCAACTCAAAACCTTCCGCCTCCGCTGTGCCTGCCTCATCCACGCTCCTACCGCATAGGGAGTGCCCTCTTCGGTCCGGCAACGAAAAAAGGACGCCCCAAGCAACGCTAGCTTGCCGGTGACTGCAATCTGTTCTCTTTCCTGCTCTTAAGAGTGCGGTGAGTTCCAACTACTGTTCACGTCCCGTTGTCCGCCCTTTCCTCTCATCGACGTGAACTCCCACCCTGGTAAAGACATGTAAAGACGGTTTACATGGCCTCCTGAGCCCCTCGTGACGCTAATGATGCACAGCACGGCAGCGCCATCACATCGCAGTCTGACTTCCGACGTGATCGACTTGGGTCCTGCCGCAGTCTGCGCCGACTGCTGCCGTTATCTTTATCTTCTTCTTCCTCTTCTTCCTCCTCGTCTTTTTCTCCCTTGGATTTACAAGTAGAGCGGATAAAGTCTCAGCAAGGGCACACCTTAAACATCCTTAAACACAATACCAAATGAATTGGCATCCAAAGGCATCCCGCCAAAAGCCCGGGGCTCCATCCGAAACAAGCGGCGTTCTTCTTTTCATACTTGTCCGCCAGTTTGCGCGAGGTCTCGTAGCTGAGCTCTGGCAAGCAGGATGATCGCACTGATGTGGTTGGGGGGAAGCCGTTGCGTGCAAGAGAGAGGAACTTCTGGAGCTCGCAGTACGCAGATTGCACGTGCCGTAGCCGGATCCGGGACTTCCACGGCCACCTGGCTCCGATTTTCGACTACAAGCTTTTGGAGCAAAATGCACAAAACACACATAGACTTCTCTCCGGTCGAAACTCACTCGACTCCTGAGAAACGAGAAACGACCGGCTTGTGGACCGAGAAAACGTCCGCATTTTCGGGTCTTTTCACAGCGGTACTTGAGCCCGAAAACCGCCCCCAGATAAAACCGGTTTAAAAGGGCTCTGCAAGTGTCCAGGCCACGCATCTTGCAATAGCTTCGTGGATTCCTTCAAATCCTCCGTAAGCTCCGGTTCCTTCAAAATTTTTGCCTTCTTGTCGTAGCCCTTCTTCATGTGTGCCATTTGACGGAATCCTGGGCCCAGCCCGTTGAGGTCCTGAGCTCCGCGGTCGCGTCATCCCCCACGCTTCGCCGTTTCACGCAGGTGATTTGAGATCCTGCTTATCTTAAAAAGGGATAAGACTTTCAAATTTAAAGGGATAGGATTCGGATGTCCATGGATTTTCAACGGAAGAAAACCTCAAACTAATTGGGTCAAGAATCTGATTCCGGGCTTTGCTTCCAACTGTAATCAAAGAAGCGATGCTCTAGGGTGTTGGCTAAGTTCTTCGCGTGGAATCCTGGCTCGCTTCCCGTCGCGACATGCTCCAAAACGCTGAAGATGCTGTCATAGGACTGTGCAGCCACCACGTCCTGCCCGAAGCGGTTCTGGTCCGGCGAACATGGAGCAACGATCTTCCACAGAAAGACGTAAAGCGATTGCGCGTATACGCATATATTAGAGCTCGCACTACATTTGTACATGTTCCACATCACCCCCTACGCTTAGCGAAAGATTGTGTTGCAGCTTCGTTTGCATGGTAGCGGTAAGCCTGGTTGCGCACCTGAAGTGAACACTGAAGGGTGGCAAGGTTGGGCGCACTGGAGCCATTGGGTGGAAGGTGCAGCATGAGTCGTGAAACTCCAGAAAGGTCGGCAATCTAGTATGCAATAACCGAGTACCAAAAGCTAGTAGGTTGGAGGCCATTGCTAGTAGGTAAGTACCTTTGTGGCATCAGTAGCACCCGCGAAGGTGATCACAAGGTCGCAATCAATCTACACAACTCACCGTGGCTGTCACATTCTAGGGGCGTGTACGGCGTGCATCAGCTACTGGAGTTCCTCGAAACCTTCCAAGCTTGGTGGAGAAGGAACTTTCCAAGCCAAATGAACGCTACTAGGAGCAAAGGGCACCGCTACGAACGGAGCAAGGACGCTGCTAGGGTTTTTGGATGTTTTTGGTTTACTGCAAGCAGCAAGAAGCTACAAGTAACAAGGGCAAGAAGCTTCCTTGATAAAGTTCTACCTCCAGCGATCCAAAGGTGAGACCACGGAGTGGGTCGCAGCCGAAGCCTTGTGGGAGGCTCTTCGAAAGAATCCCCCAAAGAGCGAGCGGCTTGGGTAAACGGCACACATGGAGCGACATGGGGAAGACAGTCGGCTTTGAAGAAAGTCAAAGAGAAGAAGAGCCAGATGCACAGACAAATGGTGAAAGCCACGACCAATGGAGAGAGACTTGAAGATTGGGCTGGATCACCTGGAGATCGGAGGAGTGCGAGCTGCCGTCGTCTTGGGATGTGAGTGAGGACATGTTCCCTTAGTTTTTCGCTGGATTGCTACTTCTACACAGGGGAACGAGCTTCTAGGATTTGGTAAGCACGGCGACATGCCCTAAACTCAGGTGATGCAGGACCATCCTTCCTACATTGGGTGACGACGACAGCCATGGAGTCAGATTCAGCTCGTTGGGCCCAAGAGGTTGGCACAGTGGGCAAGGCAGCGAAGCCAGGCAGCCTGACTCAAGGTCAAGGCTCACCTGCCGACACACGGGACGAGCTCCAAATGGCAGTTCACAAACACCTGGTGTTCAGAGGAGGCAAAGAACTATTTTGCGGAGAAGGGGACTGAGTCGATGCCAGCAGGAGAAGCACACTGGCACAGCATTGTTGAAGGGCCGTGAAAAAGGGGGCTAAGGGGATGCGCAGTAAACCTTGAGCCGTGACTTTCGCGAGTTGTTCTATGGTCACAGAGCTGGCTTATTAGCCCGAAGCACCTGGGTCAATAACTACACCTGGGTCTACCAAACTCCCCACCTGACTATGTCTTCCGCACAGATCAGCTTCCAAAGGAGGCAGCCTTAAAGCAAAAACTCACATGATGCAAGCTTCAGTTTCACGGAAAAAGTAAAAACATAACATTAAGAGTAGTGGTATTTCAAGATCGCCAGAGCTCCCACTCATTCTACACCTCCTAAGTCTATTCACAAAGTCGGACTAGAGTCAAGCTCAACAGGGTCTTTCAACAGGCATTAGGACGATCACCCAATGCAGCCGGACACATTTTTGAAAGTTAGGAGGTGAGGCTAGACGATGGAAAGGCTTCACCACATGAAATTCAAACAGAAACTATACAGGGACCAGTAGAACTGGACGATCACAGCACTGGCAACAGGCCCGAAGTGGAGAACCATGGGTGCGTCCCAACAGCAACCTCCAGAATAGACACCAAAGGCATCGAAGCAAGTTACCCGTTCATTCAGGTCAGAAGCGAGGTGCTCAGGAGGCCGATATCACTGGACAGTTGGGTTGAGGCTCAGAGGCCATCGCTCTTAGGTTGGAGGCCATCGCTTCCTCCAACCTAAAAGCAATGGCCTCCAACCTAAGAGCGATGGCCTCCAACAAAGAAGCAACGGCCTCCAACCCACTAGCAATCGCTAGTAGGTTGGAAAGCGTTCCTCCTTCAAAAAGGTTACATTTCAGGATTTATTTGCAGGCCAAATGGATCAGGAGTTATGGCGCAGACCTTTACGGAGTGGAATCAAATACGAATCGAGGAGATTTGAGGAGCAACGCTCATGAAGAGTGCAACAAACGAATTGAGGAGATTTGAGGAGCAGTGAAGAGCTTGGTTCATGCACACGTTGACGACTTCTTGTTCGGAGGCAAAGCTAGCATCATATCAAATTCACCAGAAAATATCCGAGCAGCATTTGAGTGGGCACCTGGGAGGAACGACAGTTCATCCAGTGCCGAGTAGAGGTTGAGCAAAAGGAATTGGTGGAATCGAGCTGAGACAAAGCAACTTCATCAGCTTCATCGGAAGTGAGGATTACAAGAGAAAAGAGCAGGCAGGCCGAACTGCCTACAACAGAGGCTGAACAGTCACTGTCCTTAGAGGAGCAGTGGGTGAATGGGCAAACCTGTTTCATGTATGCAGCCGACGCGAGCATGTTGTTGACACAGGTACCCACAAGCACTGTACAGGTGATTAATAGACCAACAAGCTGATCAGGGACATCAAGGAGATTCAAGATCAGGCATACCGAATCCATGCCTTCAAAGAAGGAGGAGGATTTGAAACCTGTGGTTTGGTTGGTTTGGTTGGATGCAGTTGATGCACACCGGCCAAACAACCTGGACTCCACGGAGGGATCTTGATCGGAACGTCGAATGCCCAACTTCGAGCTGGGACAGAGCTCCAGCGTCGCCTATACAGGATCCGGGAAGATAGAAAGAGTCTGCAGATAACCTGCAACAGCAGAACCATGGCAGCTCTCACCGAGGATGATGTGGCCTGTTTGAGATGTCGTGGAACGAGATGAAAGGCTTTCACATTGACCCTTACAACATTGACAAGTCAGTGAGGGCAACAAGGGCCATGTTGGTGGCCGATGCAAGGAACCTCTACGGCAAGTTGATGAGGGCAACTCCATGTGTGAAAGGGGCGGAAAAAGGATTCACAGGCAATGAGGTTAAGACAGAACCTTGAACGTCGGGTCGAGGGTGGGGGAATGCAGTCTGACGGTACAAGGGAAGGTGCAAGGATGGTTGTTGCAGCTTGGTTTTCGTTAGAGGATTGCTCATAACGTCTCAAGAAGAAGAGGCGTGCAGCCAGTCTCGAACCTGTGGACTACAACACAACGTGCACACTATATAATATACTAGCAACAAGCAGCAATCTCAACAACAAGACATAACACAAAAAAAACAGCGACTCCCCAATGTTTAACGAGTTCCGCGTCAAATGAAATGCGGGGGGGAGTGCAAATTGAACTGCATTTGTACATGCTCCACTTCATTAGGTTCAAGACGCCTCTAGGATCAGTGAAAGATTGCGTTGCCTGCCGCTTTGTTTGCACATGCCTCCAGAAATCTCCAGAAGACCAGAGTCCTTTTCATGCAACCATTTTCATGTATTTTCATGTTCCATGCGCACGCGGGTAGAATCCATGTAAAGACTGATGTTCCACAAAATGTGCCCCATAATGCTACGCACGTCTCCTGAATCACCTCTTGCTTGAGGAAACGGTTCTTGTCCAGAATCTGGCGCATTGCCTCGATTGTGAAGGCTTTCAGGTTGCGCTTGGCACACTTGCCGTTGTCCTTCATCAAGCTTTCCTGAAGCATTTCGACAAAACCTGGAGACACCCCAACATGAGGAACCGCCCCTGGTAGACCTAAGACTTGAAAGTGGGTTGCCGATGCAAGTCACATGTTAAAGGGGGGTCCTAAGTCCAATTATCTTTTTGATGAGCTTGTTAGATTCAATCTGCACCAACCAAAACAAAGGAAACACATGTCTGCCAATCCAAATCTCGGCCAAGATTTTCCGGTAGGTCGAATCCTCAGCTTCTAGGTTTGGCGTGAAAGGCTGAGTACTCAGCTTTAAACCACAAACATGTTGTACATTAAAGCAATTAAAGCACAAAAATATCAGGCTTCGGTTGTCCCCGAGACGTGAGCAAAAAGATGAACCTCATGGACGTCAGAAGAAAAAGGAAGGCTTTTCATGAAGGATAGTCGGACGCAGAAATCGGATTCAGGGGAACCAAGTTGGAAACGATCGAGAATCTCTCTCGAACTCATCGATCTCCTCACTCGCTGAAAGGGATGTTCTCAAAGTTTAGTGGGGAGCCTAGGGTACGGAGTCCTGGGGATGGCCTCCACCCTACTAGCGATGGCCTCCACCTAGGGGAGTCCTAGGGATGCTTCATTCTTTGGGATACTAGTAACAAGAAGCTACTAGGAGCTCCTGACATCGCTACTAGGAGCAAGGACGCTACTGGGGGCTCCAGAAGCTACTACTACCCAAAAATGTTCCATCTTTCTCCTCTTGCTCGCCATCCTTTGCACATCTAGACAGCCAAGCAGCTTTTTGGATGCAAGGTCGGAAGCGTCGATGGAAAAAGGCAGGAATGGTGTCTTCCTTCCAGCTGAAGGACTTGAGGTGTTCTTTCACCCAGCTTTCAAAGAAAAGCACGGGCTGCTCAGCCAAGGCATTCTCTTGGTAGTGTTTGTTCTCGACTTCCTTGTTTACGCACTCCACGATCTTTTCGACGAAAAACCGATCGCCGGTCCAGTAGGCCAACACGGCCACGGTGTAAAAGTCTGCTTTGGTCACCTCAGGCCTTAATCTGTACAGTACTTGGTTGTGGTGGTCATGGTAATGGTGAACATTGAGAAAGTGCCCCCTTCTCATAATCCGTGTAAAACTCATTATCTTGTCATCCTTATGTCTAAAGCTGTTGTTCCTGTTCAACTGCCGGAACTTGTGCTCGAACACCTTCATGATACCTCTTTTTTGCTTGTTGTTTAAGCGTTGGTTGTTCTCCACTTTGCGTTTGAACAACGTTTGAGCCCCGCCCTCCGATGTCTCTTTCTGACCTCTGCAGCGTCTGCGCGCTTCTCGGTAGATGCAAAAAGTGATGAGCAAATTATTAAAAGTGTTATCTTCCATAATTTGTCCAACTTCATAAGCGGAAAATTTGTCTGCCCCTTCTTTTTCATGTTCTTTGTCAATGGTCTTCTTCACGGTGGTCGCCTGCTTCGCTCTGCCTGAATCTTTTCCCTCCTGCTTTGAGAGCTTTGGATTCTGCTCCCATTGCTGTTCCATCTTTTCGGCATTCGAAACTGTCTTATCTGTCCTTTTCGCCTGGTCGTTGGTCTTCCTTGCCTTTCTTACTCGATCTAAGTCCTCTTCGGGCTTCCCTGCTGGGGAGTCTTTCTGCAAAGCCTTTTCGTGGTTTCTTTTCTTGGCCTTCTTGTCTTCCCGTTTCTCCAATGCAATGTCCTTCTCTTCCTT